CGGGGGGCAGGAGGCGGTGGAACAGCTACTCTAAGAGGAAATCTTCCCTCTCTTGCGATCACGCTTTCTGGGAGGAAAACTAGCGGGAGGCGAGCAGCGTCTCAGGGAGACTCGCCCGGTGCGGCCGCGGGAGGGAGGCGGGACAGAGGCTGCCTGGGTGGCTCTTTCCACGAAAACTGCCATGGCCGCTGTGCCTTTTAAAAAGACGCCGGTCAGGTTTCGTGGTTGAACCCGTGTGAGACTCGGACAGTAGGTGGCCACCGGAATCTTAACCAGTTGGGGTTCCTCGAAACGTGGCGGGAGTTCTCCTGCTCCCGCCCGGGTGGTGGTTGCTGAGGGATGGGTTTCTTCAGGACACGGCGTCGTGTTTTAAACCACGAGATAAGCTGGAGACCCTGTCATATGTGAATTCAGGACACGCAGCATGAACGGATGGGATCTGGGAGGGTTCCTTTGTTCGTATGCTAGTGAAAACGTGTACCTGAAACCTTGCCTCTTGGGGTTGTTTTTTGATTTTTATTTTCCCAACTTCTAGTTAAAAAGCTCTTAAAAACACCTTATATTCTGGAGCAGAAAAGATTTACAGAACTTAGCAAAACCTAAATATCCACTCTGAGGATTTTTTTAGCCTATTTAGGCAAAGTAGATACATTTTATTTAGACTTCGGTTTTTATAAACACTGGGTGATAATGTGTTCCTGTCTTGCAAATAGACTGATACGGAATTGCTTTGTTCCTGTAGAAAGCCCCGTAGGACTTATGCATGGAGCCTCAGTGGTTGTTCTCGCATATCTTTTAACTTGCAAATTTGAACTACGGGTTCATTTCCCTGAAACAGTTTGAGAAAAGTAGAAGGAAGGGGGCGGGGGGGGGTAGCGATTTTTTTTCTCTTTTGCTGGAGCCAGGGAAAGGTTGGAAGGTGCTTTTCTTGTTTCCAGCCACATATATGCTTTCTCCACCTGGTAGGGCTTTTTACAACACACTGAGGTGAAAATCTGGTCTGTGTGGTTATATATAGATTGTTTCTTTGTTGTGTTACCCTATTAGATTCAGGACTGTGAAACTGACAGTGACCATTCTTGGGAAATCCCGAAGAGAAAAGAATGCTTGTCTTTTGCTCCCCCTGTACCTGATTAAGTATATTTATTTTTTGTAATTTAGAAAGAGGGAAGTGTGTTTCTGGGAAAACTTGGAACCTGGAACCAATTATTTCGTCTGACTGTTGCTGCAGTGTGTGTTCCTGAGAGCCTCTTGACCTAATTTGGTTGCGGCGTTGTTTATTTTTCGTTTGTTTTCCTTTTAGACCGTTTTCTGGCAAAGGTCTTTCGTGTACAAATACTCCGGTTCTCTAACAAAGTGCAATGGCGTAGAGCAGTTGCCTTATGCCTGAGACTTCTGCCTCCCTTCTTGTTTTTTCTTTCTCAATACAACTCCTTTCCTAAAACTCCAGTAAAATGGCTGCAGTACTTTATTTGCAATGGTTTGGGTTAGCCTGAGGTTTGTTCCTGAAGCCTGTACCTGGCAGTCATCTAAACTGTAAATACCAAAACTCCGATAGCTCGGAGTCTGTCAGGCTTCTGGTTTGCATGTTGGATTTGTTACCGGCTGCCTCCCTGCTCACTTTGGCGTGTGTGAAGGAAGTTGTCCGCCTACCTGTGAGGTCAAGCATGGATCTGCAGGCAATCACCTGTGATTCTTGTCTTGCAAAACTTATGTAATGCTTTCTCCAGCTTCTGAAGAGAAGGCAAGTCAAAGATCTGTTCCAAAGATATGTTCCTAAAAGGGTTCTACTTTGCACTAGAGAAAGAATAATCATCTTAGTGCTGCGGTGAAGAACCATGTATTTTTTTATTTTTTTCCAAGGTGGGCTAGGATGCATGGTGTGGCATACAGTAAAGGCCAGCTCCCAGTATATCCATGTTAATGTATCTTGAGGATCTAATTTTTAGGGGCATGTGATGTTTGAAAGAAATGCGGGTTAGGTCAATGTTTCTAAATAAATTACTCTCCACTTCAGAATGTAAAATACATAGTTCTAAATGGTGTAAATTCCTCTGTATGCATGTCCCTGTTTTGGATTCCTCACCATTTTTTTTTTTTTTTTTTTTTTTTGCTTTCAGATAAGGATTTCTTTGGCTAGGCCAGGATTCTGCATTTTCTCCAAACAATGGAGACTGTCTTCATAGTTACGTCAATATCCTACCCAGCTAATTTTTTCTTCCAAGTTCCTCACATTAATACAATCTTTATTTGAGCAGGAGTCACTGCCACTTCCTTGGTTGTCCTTGGATAGTTATTTTTGATGTTTAAAATAACTACAAACTCTTTTGTACAACTAAGTCTATATATAACTAGCTGTTGCATTGGACTTTATTTTCTATTTCAAAAATAAAATATCTTGTTTGAGAGTTTGGGGAAATAGTTAAAAGTGGCTATGTTTCATTGGTCTGGGAATATTTTTTCTGAACATTTGCATCCTGCTTTCTGAACCCCTGTCTCTCACAATAACGGTTGTTTTTGTTCTTGATCCCATTTTTACTTTACTGAGTTTGGGGTTTGTTTTTTTTTCAATTTGAAATAAAATAAAATGTAGAAGTGGTATATAATGGTCATTATTAATGCACTAGATATATTTAACACCTCATGTCTTTTTCATTACAGACAGCCAGAAGAACTCAGGATGAGTAAAAACAATAATTTTGACATTCAAAGTCCATGTAAGTAAGTTTTTTATTAAATAGTTATAGAAATCTTTAATCTGCATATATAATACCAATTACAACTTGCTTTGTTTGGGCTCAAAGAACAGGTGGATTTTCAGTAATCAAATTGTGTTGGAACCACTTGTCTCAGGGAATGAAAAAAAAAAACAACTTGTAAACTTCCTTAGATTTGTTTGCTGTAATTGGAATATTTAAAAATACTCTCTTCTGCAGATGTTTTAAGAAAGTAACCTTGGGAATTCAGCTGCCAAATCTCACACAGCTGTGTTTGAGATGTATCATTCAAGACTTTCTGAAGCAGTACCTCTATTCTCGTCACTACTGTGACTGTTCTTGGTGTTAGAATATTGAAAATGTTTCTTATATATCTATTGAGAATTGAAGGGAAGATATTAAATGTCTGTGGAAGTACGTTAGGAACTGCAGAAATGGGGAAATCCTCAAGGTTTTAGTTGACTCCAATGTTGTCTCAAATCCTTGAATGTTTTGAAACTAGCATATGTTTTAAAAGCACTGGTAGCATATGACTTGATACAGTCAGGATACCATTCCTATGCTTTTCACAAAGATTATCACAGAGATATACAAAGAAACAGTTAAGTTGCTTTATGGATTCTAATATGGTGATGTCTTTATGTACAATACTCAAAACAATTAGATGACATATTTCACATGCATCTGGACATTGTTGGCCATTTGATAATTATCTTTGGGTGTTTTGGGAAGAACATGTCAGTTGGGAGCACAATCGTCTTGGGAATTTAGCTTGGGTGATAGCCCTCTCCTGAACCAGCAGGCAGGTGAAGTATTTTCTTTTTAGGAACTAGAGAAGGAACAAATAGTACCCTCTTCTGTATTTACTATGGAATTCAACATCAAGGAGAGAGGGATATCTGCTGTCCTTTATCCCATAATCTACTTCAAGATGCATGTGATTAAAAAAGATGAAAGTTACTGCTGTACAGCTGATCCATAGTAATTCCAGTACATTCACTGAGATTATAAACATGATTCTATATTTTAGTCTGTGTTCTCTGTGGACGGACAGATGACTGCCCTGAAAAGTATGGAGAAAAAAGGACCTATGTGGAACACAATCTCACTGTTCATTATTACTGTTTGGTAAGAATGTGGTATTGATCTTGGAGCTTGTCTGGTTTAACTGGGGAAAAAAAAAAGTAAATGCAAGAAGTATTAAATAGTAATAATCTGTCCAAACAGTTGTGGTAACAGTTGTGGTGTTGTAAAGCTTGAACTGGCAGCTCTAACTTGTAGCCTTGAAGGCTTGTACTTGTTAGGTGCAGCAGATGAAATAAATAAATTCCAACAAGCCTTTATTCAAAGCTAAATTCTGTTCATGACCTGTTTAAATGAATTACTGGGTTAATTCTCCCAGCCTATCATAGCAATGAAGGTACATGTTAAGAGAAAGGGAACAGATTGCACCTACATATTTGCTTCTGTGAAAGAAGTGTAGTTTCAAAATTTGGAATGTGGAAATTCCACCCCGTGTGGAAAAAGAGAAAAGTTGTCTTTTTTTTTCTCGTTTCTCACTGGTTCTTATTTGCCTGTGAATTATTCTCTGACATTACATAGGACATTGTAACACTTAAAAAATAGTCCTACTTTTCAGTTCAGTAATATGTACCCTACTGATCATATACAGCCACTGTATCACTATTTAGTAAAAGCTTATAATTTGAACAAAGCTATGGATATAAACTACAGTTGAGTATCTCTTGTTATCACACTTGACATTTTCCAAGATTCATATTCTTAAAGGTATACTTAAACTACCTTTCAAACTCCAAATTTTTGCAGGTCTTTAAAATAATATGGCTACTTTTAAAAAAAAAAAAAATCTTTTTTTGTTTGTTTGTTAATAAATACAGTTTGAAATTTTTTCCCACATTTCAAAAAACAGTCTCAAGAATATCAGGAACAATTGGGGGTTTTGTTTGTTTTCTCAACCAGTTCTTTAAAGACTGTGTTGATCGCAGATGGCTTCATAGGTTGGATATTGAATCCTTCAAAGATTAGGCAGAGTGGAGGTTTTCTGAAGTTACATAAAGATACTATATTTGTTTTTTTTCTTAAATAAATTTTAAGCATCTGTAAGGAAATTTAGGTCTGTTCGTGATAATTTTGTCTCATACATAAGGCCATATGAAATGAAAAGGAAAAAGTCCTGATTTTGTTTTTATTTAATTCTCCTCTAAAGTGAATTACATTTCCTCTTAGGTTGCACTTCAGTACAGAACTTCCTACTGTGCTTCATTATCTCCACAGCAGAATTGTCATTCACATTAACTAAACTAATTTAATTTTACTTCCTCTGAAGCTTTATATGCTGAAAGTAATTGTTTGACAATTATCTGAATAGTCCGTATACTTCAAAAAGGAAGGTAAAATACACCATCTTGGGCCCTACAGTATTACATAAGACTTTGATGTTATGAAATACTTATTTTCATGTTACTGGTTACTATTCCCTATTGTGTCATACCAGACAAAAATGTATAGATATTTTGGATCAGTTTTTTAATCATTAAAATGTTTGCATACAAGCTTTCTTAGACTAAATTTCTCTCTTATTTGACAAACGCAGTGTAGGTAATTTTAAATCTTTTGGTAGGTGGATGTTTTAAAATACTTAATTTGTTTTCATAGTTGATGTCGAGTGGCATTTGGCAGAGAGGGGAGGAAGATGAAGGTGTAGATGGATTCTTAATCACGGATATTAGAAAAGAAGTAAATAGAGCTGCAAAACTGGTAAGAATGAGGTCTTTGGTATTTACAAGGGAAAAAAAAGTAACTTTTAAGTTTGTTTTCTTTTCTTTCTCCAACGGGGAGTATGCTGAGCCCATTCAAACATCTGAATTTTACATTTAAGTATCAAGTATATTGGGTTTGTGGAAGCCACAAGGAACAATAAAACCTGCAGAGGTTTGCTAATATTTTTATTTCCTGGGTGTGTTGCAGATAAATGAATAAGAGCAAATTACACACGCATAATACCTCATGACATGCTGAGCCTCAAGCTGACATTATGTAATTTCATAGATGCAACTAAACTATAGGTACTGGTAAAAGAACTTGTATTTTGGCTTATGTGTCACAAGTCAACATGCATATAAAACAATACATAATCGAAGTCTGTGAAATAACTATATATCTTTACTCTTTGAAATAGAGCTAAAACACAATAGTCTTGTCACAGTTACAATCTATTGGCTGATATTCTTTCTTGCACACTTTATAATTTTTCTATTGGTTAAACTCCTGTAATTTTACTTGGACTTTAGGTGTTAATATTCTGTTATTTCTAAAACAAATTATTCCTAGAAATGTAATATCTGTAAGAAAAAAGGTGCTTCAATTGGATGTGTAGCTCCCAAATGCAAACGAAGTTACCATTTTCCTTGTGGGATACAAAAGGAATGTATTTTCCAGTTCATGGAAGACTTCAGGTAAGTTCTGGGGTTTTGTTGCTTTTTCATTTTCAACTCATTATGTTTATACAGCAGGTGATTTGTTTTTTTATGGGTTGTCACTGGATAGGCTGTTAATTATAAATGACATCCGGGTTATCTAAGAAAAAATATCTGATTTGTGGAAAACATGAAGGCCAAGCAGTTATATGGCATACCTAGTACCTATAAACTAAATTCTCAAAAATTTTAAAGATAAAATTTTATGCTTCTACAAGTAGGTAAATTGTTTATAAAATTGAGCATTAAATCCTAAACTCTGACATAAACTGCAAAATGATTGGTTTTGGTTTTTTGGTTGTCTACCTCCTGTGCCTCTGTTGAAATGGCAGTGGTTTGGCTGCCTATCTCTCTCAGCAGTCAAAACACACTGTACGCCATTCCGTCGTATTTCGAAGCACAAGACTTCTAGAACTGCTTATTAGAGATGGACTGCAGGAGAAATGGGTTTAATATCAAATGTCTAAAATGTTTTATTTTCTTTTACTATCATCTGTCTAGCATCTTGGCTATAGTCAAAATACTCTTGAGTGCATTTGATAAAGGCTTTATTCTACCTACTGTAAGCTGAATTTGTAGAGTGGGTGGATTGAAGTCTGGCAGGCACTTAAACTTCTTAAATAAATGACTCGTATTACGTCAAGTACATGTAAAAATAATGCATTTTCAGAAAGGTTTCTTCTAGAGCTGCATTTCTTGGCTGTCTTATTTCTTTGAATATGTGCTAAATTATAAAATTTACCACGCTACCTAGACTCTGCAGAATCAATATGCAAACTCAAAATTGCTCCTTTAATGTCACGGTAACATTGAAATATAGGAAGAACTTGAGGTTCTGAGGTAAGGAAACGCATCATTTGGACCAAAAGAAGTTTTGAGAGAAAGGGGGCATATGATCTCTGTAATTTACATAGCATCAGTTGGCAACACGCTTCTTCCTTGCTATTGTTCTATTGGCTTGCTCTGTTAGATACATAATCTGTTTACATGTGTGTTGTGGTTTAACCCTGATAGGCAGCAAAGCACCACACAGCTGCTTGCTCACTACCCCCCGCGGGATGGGGAGAGAATCAGAAGGGTAAAAGTGAGAAAACTCGTGGGTTGAGATAAAGACAGTTTAATAGGGAAAGCATCAGCTGCATGCGCAAGCAAAGCAAAATAAGGAATTCATTTACTACTTCCCATCAGCAGGCAGGTGTTCAGCTATTTCCGGGAAAGCAGGGCTTCATCATGTGTAACAATTAACTCGGGAAGACAAATGCTCTAACTCCGAACGTCTCCCCTTCCTCCTTCTTTCCCCCAGTTTTATTGCTGAGCTTGACGTCATGGTATGGAATATCCCTTTGGTCAGTTGGGGTCAGCTGTCCCGGCTGTGTCCCTCCCAACTTCTTGTGCACCCCCAGCCTACTCGCTGGTGGGGCAGTGTGAGAAGCAGAAAAGGCCTTGACTCTGTGTAAGCACTGCTCTGCAATAACAAAAACATCTCTATATTATCAACACTGTTTTCAGCACAAATCCAAAACATAGCCCCATACTAGCTACTATAAAGAAAACTAACTGTATTCCAGCCAAAAACCAGTACTTGTCTGCCTTTTTATTTTGTTGCACAGCGTTTATTCATGAAAAACAGATATAATAGGGAATTCATTTTGATATCTTCAAATTTTATAAGGAAGGTTCTTAAAATGTTGTTTTGATAAGGGAACCTTAAATTATTATTTTTAGATCTTACTGTTGGGAACATAAACCAGTCCAAAAGTTTCCAGATAAAGAATCTAGAGGAACTTCACAGTGTACAATATGCCTGGATTTGGTTGAACAGCTTCCAACATACACTGTATTGAAAAGTCCTTGCTGTAAAAACGCTTGGTTTCATCGAGAATGCTTGCAGGTAACACAGGTTCTCCCTTTCTTTTCTTATTGCATCCACGGAGATCACATTTCTGTTGTGTTTAAAAGTAATGGAACAGTTGCTTAAAACTGTGTAAAATTGCTTAGGGATAATGTAGGCAGTAAGTATGGAAATATACTAGGTTTGAAGGACAATGCTAAAATTGTGTTTTGGACACTAGTGTCTTACAAGAAGGATTTTTTTTTTTTATGCTATTCATTTCCACCCCCTCCATGTTTCTGCATGTGTGATACACTTCATGCCTTTAGTTATTTTTAGGAACGGAAGTCCACCCTAGGTAGTTGCCATCTTGCAAGTCATTATGTGCAGAATCTAAATGCTAAAGATGTCATTTATCCATCATCAGTTCTCTTTGCCTAAGTCCAGAGCTGGAAAAAATTATAAGGTGCTTTTTGTAAACTCATTCTAGATCTGGAGAGGTTGACTGAAAAGGATTGTGCTTTTGTTTATGAACCTGATTCTAGCATGTGAGCTCTTGTCGTTTAAAGGAAGAGAAAATGCTCGCCATTTGCTTCAATGTCAAGTGACATCATGATTGATGTCAGCTTTAACATCCATGTCAGGACAGTATCCGTGAATGTAATGGTTATAGATATTAAGGCATTATTTATTGTTATCCTAAGGATGGTAGTAATTCAATAATTGGTTTGGTTTTTTGTTGTGTTTTTTTTTCTTGACACAGTATCAAGCTTTGAGTGCTGGGATATTTTTCTTTAGGTGCACAGTGTGTAATAACAAGGACAAATTTCAGAAAGAAATGTTGAGAATGGGCATACACATTCCAGAAAGGTAAGTAATTTTGTAAATAATCACTCTTCTACAAAAATTTTGGTAGGGTGTTAAAACCATTTTTTATTTATTCTATAGAACTGCATCTATTAATATGTGAAACTTCAGTTCTATGGTAGAATCGTTTGGTTTGGTAAGGAATAGCCTGTTTCCTTTTAGTTATGCGTAAATACTGTCAGAGGCCAAATTAGTTATCTCAAACATAAAGCAGGAAGCTCTGAAAAGTCATTTTTAATGCCATGATTCAACCAGGGACCTATTTAAAAGATCACTTCTTAAATACAATAATTTCGCATTAACATAGAGGTTGCTGAGAAGTGTGTTTTCTGTGCCCCGGTTTTTAAATTATCTGAATTTCTGTCCAGACAATGTTATAATCAACTGATTACTCAGTCATACAGCTTCCATCTTCTCCCAAGGGATTGCTAAGGATATGTTTAGTATAACAACTGCTTCTAAAAATCTGAGCTGTTTTTCATAAGTTTCCACCATTTGATGGGGCTCAAAATAAGACAGAAAGTGATCAGAATGACGTTTCTTTGTTAGAAGTATTATTCTTTAATAACTATTAGTCTCTTCAGAGACTGCCATTAACTCCTTCCGGAGACAGAAGCTCAAGATTTTGTAGAGGAAGAAGAGTCAAAATACTCGATTAACTTTGCCGTACTGGCCTGGAAAATTCTGAGTTACTTCTCATGAGAGCATTTTCAGTGGTAACTTGAGTAGACTGCCAAAACAAATATCCATGTCTGCTGTGAGAGAGAAAGCGGAGTAATATGAAACAGAGCAAACATGCACTGAGGTCGTGCGAAAAATAATAAATACTTTAATCAAAGTAACTGTACGCAAGAAAGTGTCTGTCTGTGTATTTATAGTATTTTTGTTCCTAGACTTTTTTCTTCCCCCTCTCACTTGTCTAGCTGTTGCCTAGAACATTACATGATTGAAATATCTTCATGTGGTTATTACATACATCTTTTCCAAAGACAGAGTAAACTATTTAAACAATCAGAAATACAGTTGCAATAACAGATCTTCTGCCTTGTTTATAGGGACGCATCTTGGGAACTTGAAGAGAATGCATATCAAGATCTACTGCAATGTTATCAACACTGTGACATTAAAAGATGTCTCTGCAAGAAAGGAAGAGACTACAATGAACCTGATAGGTATGACACTTCTGCAGGAAGGTATAACCTATGATGGAATAGTCCTTTTGGTGGGTTTTTTTTTTTATTTAAATGCTTTAATACTTTTCAACATCAGGTTTTAATGTCGAGCCAAGACACTGTGTCCAAATAAAATGTTTGGTTTACTCCTTATAATATTTCAATACTGATTTTCTTTAATTTAACCAGGTTATAAAAGCCAAGAAAACCAAACCAATCGATTATCAGTTATCTTGTCCTTATTCTCACTTGATACAGAGCTGAAGTAGAATTTATACGTGCACATAATGTGTTAGAATAGCATGTGCCTAAAGTAATGTTGTGTATCTCTCATTCAAAGCTTAATTCAACAATTTAATAATTGTTAGAATACTTAATACCTTTATAAGAAATTCGCTGAAGTACTAGACTTAGCTGAAAACTAACTAGCTGTGTAAAATCAATCTAGCTGCAAGCTATCCCTCTGCATGCAAATGGCAGCTAGAATATTGTTGATAGCTTAATGAGAGGCTTGAGCGATCATGTAAAAGGCTTTATTCTGCTCTACCACTTGCTTAATTTTTTATTAACAAGTTCACTTTCTGCATTCTTTTTTGTTTTATTTGTCTGCTTCTGAAATGTATATCTTCCATTGGCATGAGTATACTCAAAGCTGCCAGAGCCCCTACTTTGAAGACTTGTTTCTGTAGTACTGTGGTAGGTTACTCCCTGTAGACATTAATTTTGCTTTGGACAGGTTTGCCCAAACATTGCTTGGTGCATTCATGGTATGTGTGCACCTCAAGATTTACTGTGCCTTTAAGAGTTGTACCTGAGGCTTCCAATATTTGAACTAGTATCAGTCACATTGTTCCATTGTACGTTTAAGCAAAATTGAAGAAACCTAGACAAAAACCTAACATAACTTAAACACTGTCATTAATGAAGAGTCTTACTTAGAATGTGTAAGAATAATCAGATATGCTCCTTTAAAAAAAATACCATTTGGAAAAGCTGAATGGTGGATACCCATAAAATACAGAGGATGTTGCTGACTAGCAACATGAAAATATTGATTGCAAGCTATTGACTTCAAGGCAGGGGAGCACACTAAGTCATAGCCTCTTTCAATACAAGGTGCTGGAACACAGGTAGCTCTTTTTTTTTCTTGTTGCAGCCAGGAATTGCAAGTACATCGTGTCTGAAGAAAGTTCCCCTTGATTATATACAGTCCTACCAGATTGATAAAATTATGCTTTGTCAGTTTAGTGTCTGGATTACACTTACTGTTGAATATTCTTTGTTTTAACTAGCCTCACTCTTCTGTCTAATTCTAAATATATAAGTTTTTAATTTCAGTAAATGGGAAATAAAGCGTTGTCAGTGTTGTGGTTCCCGTGGAACTCATTTGGCCTGTTCATCTATGAAGTCATGGGAGCAAAACTGGGAGTGCATGGAGTGCAGAAGTATCTTTGCAAAATCAGGTAAAGTTATGGATGTGACAGTGACTTCTTAAAATGATAAATTTTAATACTATGTATTTTACAGCTAGCAAATGCACTAAATTAATATAATTTAATCATACAGGGAACTATAGCAAACAGAAAAAGCGTTCTTTGGCTACCTCTGAAAAGACAGATGGGACAACTTGTTTGGTGGAAGAGCCATCTCCAAAGTACCCTCGGCAGTCACCTGGATCTCAACGCAATTTTCTTCTCCAGTGTGTAATTTTCTGTTTTCAAGCAGAAACTGATTATAACATAAAATAGTATTTAAACATGAGGAGGTGATGGCTTATTCCATAGGAGAAACTTCTTACACTACATTGCAAATTAAATAAAATTGGAGTAAAGTTTAGTGATTGGAGTTTTCTGAGTAAGCCATGAACTCTGTAAATTTGCTATAGTTATTTGCATCTGATGGCATGTAAACCAGTTTTTAGTTTGATAAAATTAGATCCGTGTAAAAGGAATCTTAACAATTTAGAGGTAACTTCGAATGTACAAATGGCAAAACTTAAAGCTAAGGTTGCTTATCAGTATTTCTTCTATGTTAATAGTGTGCTAGAAATCTAGCTTACAGAGATATATAAATAATGTTTTCCTTGGAGGTAATAAAAGCTTTTCAAGTCTGTAGAAACTAATATTTTTAGTTTTTACTTGTTGTATCAGTCAGGACTTCCATCTCATGTATGGGATGCAACTAAAAACGGATCCTAAAACCACCACATAATAAATACTGAATTATTATTTTTAAAATTGTAGTTCAGGCACTGATGGACTTCATGTAAACGAACATACAAATGAGATTCAGTATTGAAATAGGGGGAAATTATATTGCTACCTTCAAATAAGAAGTCTTTATGCATTCTTCAATTGTATCTCTTCTTAATTGGGTTTGTAGATCACCAAAGATAATGTGCCAGAACAATTTGTCACCCTGCTCACACCTAGAACTTCCAGCATCCAACAGAGTGACGATGTCCTTATCTCCGCTGATGTCAAACAGGAACTGGTCCCTGAGGAAAAAGTATTTTCTTCTATTTTTCTTACGTTGAAGAGTAATCTAGCACATGGCTTTGTACCATATTTCCTACAGAACATGGTGTGTGTGTGTATGTGTATATATAGTGGTTATATATAGAATCATAGAATCATTAAGGTTGGAAAAGACCTCTAAGATCATCGAGTCCAACCGTCAACCCAACACTACCATGCCCACTAAACCATGTCCCTAAGCGTCTCATCTACACGTCTTTTAAATACTTCCAGGAATGGTGACTCAACCACTTCCCTGGGCAGCCTGTTCCAAGGCCTGACCACTCTTTCAGTAAAGAAATTTTTCCTCATGTCCAATCTAAACTTCCCTTGGGGCAACTTGAGGCCATTTCCTCTCGTCCTATCGCTGGTTACTTGAGAGAAGAGACCAACACCCACCTCGCTACAACCTCCTTTCAGGTAGTTGTAGAGCGCGATGAGGTCTCCCCTCAGCCTCCTCCAGGCTAAACAGTCCCAGTTCCCTCAGCTGCTCCTCATAAGACTTGTGCTCCAGGCCCTTCACCAGCTTCGTTGCCCTTCTCTGGACACGCTCCAGCACCTCAATGTCCTTCCTGTAGTGAGGGGCCCAAAACTGAATATATTTGTCTGTGTGTATATATAGTCACTGGAAAAATGGAATGACTGTGCTGAAGAGCTGAAGTCATAATTTGATAAAGGCTTCTGCTGTCTCTAAATGCTAGAGGGGGGTGAGGAGAAAAGAATGATACCTATTGAGAATTTTTAGGTTAGGTGGTGAGGGGATCAAAACTCAGAAACGCGTATTTGTCCTTACTGAAGCACGGCTAGCCATTCTTTAGAAAAGGGGGAATAAAAAGAATCCTAATTACTTTCTTCAAATTAGACGTGTCCTGAATTTTCAATGTTTTTGCATTTGTACCATAGGAATAGTTCCTGATTATGCTAAAGTCAGTGGTAAAATTACATTTTTTAATATAGAATATTCAGTTTAAGGATACAAAATTCTTTTGCCTTGTTGTGAGTACTTAATTTATGAATTCTACCTCTAACGTGCTAAAAATTCTGAGAAGGGAATTAGTTACTTCTAATAGGTAGGGTATTTGAAATAGTTTTGGTTGCAAGTTAGAAAACAAGGGGTCTTATTTAGATTCGTGTCTTAATTTTTTAAATGAGAACTGCAACATTTCTCATTTCTCCCTACACAAATGTATTTTTCATTATAGTGACAAAGATTAAATATTAGTGAATAGTTGCCAGCGTATTCTAATTTGGTTGCAAAACATCTCTTTAACAAACATGGTAAGCTCTTCGATTTCTCACTTGTTTCACATCGTTCAAATGTAGAATGATGGTGTGAGAATTGTTTGGAACTATGTTGGTGTAATTGAATTAAGAAAATAGCTATTCATTTTATGCCAAGGTAATTATTTCTACCTCCTTTTTTCTAGTTCTTAGAGGTACTTTAAAATTTGCCACTACAAAGTTAAAATTTGAAAAATCTACACCAAATATTTTATTGATATAATTTAGACAATACCTCAATGTACCGAAGTGTTTAAAGAGGTGTTTTTCTTAATGGATTTTAGGATGTTTCCTGTAAACTGTTGCTAATTATGAATCATCAGTTTCAGCTGAAAATACATGCAATTTTCTTGTAGGCATTTAAGAAACCAAAGAAGGGAAGTTTCTAATATACTGAAGGAGTTAAAGCTACAAGTTAATACAAAAACTACAAGGCTTAACATCAATGCAGAAAATATCTGGAATAGTGCTTTAAAAGGATTTAGACAGCGCAACTTCAGTCCTACAAACACCATTGAAATAAAGTTCACAAACTGCAAAAATAGATCAAAGACAGATACTTCTGCTGCATCAAAACACCGTTTCTTCCAATTATTAATGCTTCACCTTCAGAATTCATCGTTGTTTGAGGGCTCTTCTGCAAAGAACTTGTCCCTTGATTTTCAAGGTAATTAAATGTTTTGTTCGAAAATACATTAAGAACTATGTAACTTGAAAGGTTTTTAAATCTTCAGCCAGTATGATTGTCAGTTTACAATTACAGTCCTGATGGATAGAAATTGGTTTGTGGGGTTTTTTTTTCTTTTTCAATTCTAAAGAAGGGTGGGGTGCACATCTGTAATAACCAAAAAAAAAAAAATCGGTTTAGTTGGAAAAGTTGATGACAACCAAGGAAAAAATACAGCATATAATTAGACTTGGAGCTTTTTAATTAATGATTTGTTCTCTACAAGTGAATTTCTTTCTTCCTGACTCACTTTCTCTGATACTTATTTTCCCTTCCTCAAATTTCTAGAACATTATCTCTGATAGCATGCTCCCTAAAGATTAAAAGTTAGCTTCTTTGAGTTCTTATGCTTCAGAATTAAATGTGCATTGGGTACGAAGTGGAAGAGGAAGTTACATTTCCTCCCAAACCTTGATAGCGGCTGAAGAGTTGGAGTAAAAGAATATGGTACTCCTATGTAAAAAATACTGGTCTTACTGTTTCAACCATCAGGAGATGGCAAACCTCATTTGTTGCATCTCCTAAAGTAAGAATGAATTGCATTATGAGATTTTTCTATTAAAAATTGAGTATCACAAATTATTTTTATGCACATATAGTAAATATATTTTTTTCATTTGCAGCTGTAAAAGAGAATTTTTATTTTGAAGCTGGTAAAATGATTGCAGTTTCTCTGGTTCACGGTGGCCCATCTCCTGGTTTCTTTTCCAAAACACTGTTCAATTGTCTTGTCTATGGTCCAGAGAATGTGAAGCCGGCTTTGGAAGATGTTGCTGATGTTGATGTAGCACAAACAATAAAAATGGTAAATAAAACTAAACTTATTGGCAAATTCTTGTTTAAGACTATATTTGGAGATAAAGAAGGGCTTATTGAATATAACTTTAGTTCAAATTAAAAAGCTTTTTTTTATATATATACACATGCATGTAGTAAACAAATTCCTAACTTTTATCTTCTGATACAGATAAAATATGCAAATAGTCTGTCCAGCCTACGGTCTACAATACACAACTGTTATGAATTCCTTGCTGCTGCTGGATGTTTAAGACCTATAACAGCTTTGTGTGATAAGAATATGCTGGTGAATGACATACTGATCCATCATGTAATCAAGAGAATTATTTCACCCTTAGAAAGGTTTGTTTTGTTTGAGTTTTCAAACTTCCTGGGTTTTTTCCTCACTGAATACTAAATAATATGTTGCTAAAACTAACTTTCACATGTTCTTACTTCTTCTCCATCTAAACCAGTGAAATGTACTGTAATTTTCAGTGGATTAAGATCAACTGTTAACTAGTTAGTTAAACTGAAAGACTGAAATGACTTACCTACATATCCGCTCCGTTCCATGTTTCCTTGGTCACGTTCTTTTTTTCAACCTTATGAAGAGGACAGATTCACAGTTGTAAACTGTAGCATGACAAAGACCTTTTGCACTACAGAATTTCTCTCGCTTATGTTCATTTTTAATTCAGAATTGCTTGAATTTAGAATCTTTAAATTTTGAAGTGTTAAACATATGTTCAGAGTTTAAATGAGTTTTCTGGAGTTCTAATTAGGGAGTTTCTGTGTGCCATTAGGAGGGCGATAACGTGCTCAAGTGTAAGTTGGCCTACTTAGAATGTAAGCATTGCATTGGTGTTTCCATGAGGTAGTGATGACTTCAAATAGCTGGGAAAGTTGCAGCCGTTGACTATTTTTTTGGTTGGTCTCTGACCTTACTTCCAATTTGCATTCTTCATCTGCTCAGTAAAAAGGCAGTGGATGCTAATTTTTCCAACTAGTATAGTTGGATTTATACTTAACACATTTATGGTGTTATCTTTGGCAAATTTGAATCAACTGAATCTCCAAGAGCTATGAAAAACTAATTTTGAATGTGAGGATTTTTTTAACAAAGCTGAGAGTAATTAGTCTTTCAGTCAAGGCCCTTTGTGGCATGTTTGACCAATCTATATCATATTTTAAAACTAGTCAGTTAAAAAGTGAAAGGTAATAAGTAGCCTGATTGTTTATGGGAAAATGTGGTTTTGTGCATTTTTGGAGATGGGCTTAAAATGTGCAAAAGTGAGTAAAGCAAGAATCTGCTTGTCAATATCAAGGACTGAGAGTAAGTAAAGAGTTAGTCACTTTAGCTGTTAATGATCTACACCACTGACTGTACACTTTCAACACTGTTATTGATAGGCTGAATCAGTAAAATTCAGAATATCTAAGAAATTATGAGTAAACAACTTAAGTAAAATTTTAATTCTGATTTAACATGGTGGTTAAATTGTAAAGCCAGTTGGTTGAAATATTCTTATCCAGTACACAGTAACTAGTGAAGTTTTTTCAACCTGCAGAGCTGTGGGGGTTTTTTTAAGAGTTGAATCACAGAATCAGATTGGTGTGTAGGTTGGAAGGGACTTCTGGAAGTCATCTTGTCCACCACCCCCTGCTTAAGCCAAGCCACCTAAAGCCAGTTGCCCAGGACTGTGTCCAGACAGCTTTTGAGTATCTCCATTTGGATGGAGACTCTACAACTTCTCTGGGCAATGACCTGTGCCAATGCTTGGTCACCCTTACAGTAAAGTGTTTCCTGATGTTCAGACAGAACCTCCTGTGTTTCAGTTTGCGCCCATTGCCTCTGGTCCTGTCACTGGGCACCGCTGAAAAGAGCCTGGCTCTGACTTCTTTGCGTGCTCCCTCCAGATACATCTACACATAGAGATTCCACCCAAGCCTTCTCTTCTCCAGGCTGAACAGAACCCAGCTCTCTCAGCCTTTCCTCACAGGTTTATGCTCCAGTCCCTTAATCATCCTAGTGGCCCTCTGTTGGGCTCTCTCCAGAATCATAGAATCATTAAGGTTGGA